ACAGCATTAACAAGGAAATCTATAATGAAAGAAGTCAGCAGCTCTGGACTGATTCCATCAGCTTGGTTGATGTCTGGATCTGATGTTTTTCTTCACTAGTTGTTGTCACATTTTTGTTCATAATACCCAAAGTCCAAGGCCTTTAGCTAAAGCTGAGCAGGACATCCTGCAGTGGGAAATAGGGAAAATTATGAACATCATCCAGGTCAAGAAGAAGCATAAGGAGACTGGGAAAAGAGAAAACAGTGGTCAAGTTCTGCAGTCAAGGTGAGGGGGTTGGAAAGGACCACAGCTGATAATCTGTGAAATTCATTAATAGAGCCTGGCAATAAAAAGAATTAAAAAAAATAAATAAATTAAAATGAGCACTTGCTGTTCCAGGGAAACAAATTGATTGGGTCAAATTCAGCTAACGTTTTCAGCAGGAGAAAACAAAAGGGAAACAAGATGCTGAAGTGTTTTGACATTTCATTTCAAAATTGTATTTCAGGTTATTATTTGCCTGCACTTTTAAACATGCTCCTTAGAAAAGATCTGCATCTACTTAAACAGAAAACCAAATGAACTGGAGGGGATTTCAGTCTTGGTTTGCCAGAAAAAAAAAAAAGAAAGATGAACATTAGTTTTGTACATCAGCCTAAAGCAGCAGTGCGGGTGTGTCGGTGCAGTCACGTACCCACCGGGCACTGCTGCAGCAATCCCTCCAGTGCCTTCCCTGGATCTGTGTGGGAATCCCATGGCCTTGTGTGACTGGGATGGTCTGGGAACATGTCCTGGAGCTGCAGGTCATTAGAGCAAGCGGCAGCCAGAGCTGGTTTGTAAGAGTGGGGGAACAGGTGAGCTTCATCCTTCAGGGATGATGGAACAATGGAGAAAGAAAGGAGAGAAACAAACATATTGATGTGTCCTGTGACTTGTCAGAGACAAAGAAACTCTTTTTTTCTTTTTCTGTTTTTTTTTTTTCTTTTTCTTTTTTTTTATTCCCAGTGTTATATTTCTCTCATTCAAGGGCTTTGCTTACTTGGAGAACTGGCTGCTAATTTTAAATCTGAGGAGGCACGCAGAAGTCTTACAAAATATAGTGGAGACTGCATTATGTGGGCTGGAGACAGATGTTTTTCAAACCTCTAAGTGAAACTTAGTAGAGAATGATGAGGGCTTAATTCCAGCTCACAAGGTCTGAACAGCATTATTTGATTTAAAGATAATTAAGATATTCAGCATAGCTGCTCAAGAGTGGAAAAAATAAACACTTGTCATGAGACAGAGACAAATTTGTATTTAGATTTGACTACAAAGGACTTTAAATCAACATTGCTGTCAGAGCCATATAAATAATTTAGCAATCCAAATGTTTTCCCAAGAGCTGGATTTTTACTATTCAGCTGCAATGGGAAAATTGAATTTTTGATGGTATTTCCGTGGATTTTACCCATGTTTTCTCCAAGGACTGCAGAAGTCCACTGATATTTGCTTCTCTTTATGACCTGTTGGTGACTTCTGGGTTGCAGGTCAATCCTATGCAGCACGAGAAAGGTACACAATAAGTTTAAGCCTTATTGCTAAGAAATCTTGGAAGCACCTCTTCATCCTGCTAATTCTGCAGGCATGGCATATCAAATTGTTTTATGTTGTTCAGCAATGTTAATACACATTCAGACAAAAGAGTTTCTAATTTCTGGCATATTTTGCCCCAGGAATGATGGTGAGTCGGTGGGGGCTATTTTTCTTATCCTGCTATAATGATTTTCTGCTGATGGCCAAATGCAGAAGTTCACTTTAGTGGCTGGAATCATGACTTATTCAGCCCAGAGTTTACGGAGTTACTGGAAAGCTTTCAATTTTATGGAGTCTGTGAACCTGGTAATTGAGAGAGAGGGAACAATTCTACACTCCTCTCATGAAAATTTAATATGCAGCTGTATTAAAAGCAAATGTTTTGTGAAATTACATTAGATTTGGCCTATGTGTATTCATTTTTGTCAACAGAAAATGAAAATAGAACAATGTATTTTATTCACATTTCCTTTTCACATTTTGTGTATTTCAGATTTTAAAACTTTGTTTTCTTCTTTCAAAGTGAAAAAAAAAATCATAGATTAAAGGAGTGAATTCCAGAGATTCCTGGATTTTATGTTTACACTCTTCTCAATTTTCTGACTGTTTCCCAAGATTTCCCAGTTTTCCAAAATGTCAAAAGTATCTTTTCAGGGAAACAATAGGATTGTTGTCTTTACCCCAAGCCCCTGCATCCCTGGAAGCCACTCCAGGCTCTTTCCTGAGTTCTGAAAAACAAGCTCACATTTTATTCCAGGACCACGGGGATTCAGTCTGTGTGATCTGTCCTGTGTGGTTCCACCACAGACATGGGGAAATAACGATGCCAACCAGGCACTCTTCTGCACTGAGTGTGAGTCTTCTCCATCATCTACAGGCAATAGTTTACCAGGGTTAGTGACTGCCATAAAATACAGAATTAAAAGACTCTTTTCTGCCTGCTCTTGAAACAGGAATAAAGTAAGCAGATGCATCACTGCCTGGGATAACTTACAAACAGTCATCTTAAGCTGTTCGCTCTTCCCCTCTCTTTTATAGTGCATTTATGAATTATGTTGTTTGCATTTGTAATTATGGAACTGAACAGATGGGGAAAGGCTTATTTCAGAATGAAGTGTTCATTAAAATAACCTGCTCTCCTCTGCCAAGTGATTGTTAACCCTAATCCCAATTTGATATCAAAGAGAGTTATTTATTCTTTCTCTTCTAAGTTTGTCTGAAAGAAACAGAGCTTTGAGAAACGGACACGATATTGAGTGTGGAGCCACAATAGTGGGGCTGAATATATTCCAGAGGGGAAACCACTGAGGAGCCTTCCAGCTGTGATAGAAAAATGCAGGGAAAGATAAATTGTGGACCAATGCAATGTCAAATCTAAGAAAAGTTTTAAATTCTTCATTCAATTTGGAAGCTCAGTTCCATGTAAAACGTGGCTCCAGCCAGCGTCTCCCTGTGTGCAAACTCTTTCTAAGTTCTACCATCTTAGGTGGTTGAGCAGAATAATGGTAAATCCCATTATTAAAAATGGGACTCTCTTCTTTCTTCACAGTTTATCAGATCTTACAAAATCTTAGCTTCTTCTATTCCCAACAAGTGTTTACTGGGTGCTTCTGCAAATAATTAGAGTGGTATCAAACAAAAACAATAACAAGCAACTGGCACAAACCTGGGAGAAGTTTCAATGCCACAAAACCTGCAGATTTATTTCTTTTCTTATTAGTTAGTACTATTGACAGTGGGACCTTCATTTTTTGATCAGAAGGAGAATGGGTTTAGTGCAAAAGTCCCAGGGAGCACAGAGTTAACAGCTCTCATACCTCCCTGAACAAAACCCAGCCCAGGGACAACTGCAAAACCTCCCCTGAGTCTCCAGTGAATGTCAGGACAACAGGAACCACCTTCTGCCAGTCCAAAAAAAGGAAGCAATTAATAATGTAAACAGGTGTAAGGGGAAAGGGTTATTAAACAGAGAGCAAAGGCAGCTGTGCACCTACAGCAGGTTTGGGAGGGCTGTGACTTCCTCCCATTGCCCTCCTTCTGTGCAGCTGAAAGCTTTGCCCTGCTGGGGCAGTTGTGGGCGTTCAGTTTATTTGTGATGATGAGACCTTCCTGCTGTCTACAACTCCCTGAAAGGAGGTTGGAGCCGGGGCAGAGGGGTGGGCTCTTCTCCCACATAACAAGCTCAGGGAGACCTCAGGCTCTGGGAAAGTGGTGACTGGTTTTCATTACAGCTGAGGGAGCCAGAGACCAGCAATTTTTTGGCTTTGCTTTCTTAGTAAATTGTCCAAGTTGGTGTGAGAGATAGCTCTGCAGGGAATGAAAGTGGGAAGATTGTAAGCATCCCCTTGGTGTTTTCTTCTTGGCTTTTGCTGAGTTCCCAGAATAATGCTGGAGCTTCTTGTTCTGGTTGTGGGCTGTAAAACCTCCTGTGCTGAGAGCTAATCCAACCAGTTAATTAAAGAGTCCATTGGACTTTCTGAAACAGTGGGAGATGCAGAAGCAATTATCTTCAAATTGGCCATCATCACAAAGTGCCATTTGGCGAGTAGGGAATAGTCTCCAGCAGCTCCCTTTAGGGGTGGCAATGCCTTTCCATTACTGGGCTTTACTACTACTGGGTGTTTGATCTGAGTAAAGTTTTGGGGGAAATGACAGGAACATTGTCCCCAGTTCTGGGAGGGGACAGGTGCAGAGGGCAGGGGCCTCGATTTGTAATTGAGCTTGGTGGTTTAACGTGCTAGTGTGTACAAATCCCATTAGAGGCAGGAAAGCTGAGCAATTAATTTGCTGCAGATAATTTATTTAATGCATTTAAACTTTTTAATGTTGGGGTTTTTTTCTCCTGCTCACATACTATGGCTTCCTCAAATGTATTCATTACTCAGACCTATCTTGCTGTTTCTCTTGAAACATTCAGCCCACACGTGGAGGGTTCGAGTGCTGTTTTCTCCTTGCATTGTAAGATAAATCCTTGGTATCTCCATGGGGTGGGAGCTGAGGCATGTCAGGTGTGTGTTCCTGGAGTGAGGCAGCACTGAGATTCAGGTGTAGCTGTGCCTTTTCTCTGAAGTTTACTCCTCATAAGTCTGATGCCTGAAAAATGAATTGTATTTTCAGGGAGTAGATCAGTTAAGTCATGGGAGTCAGAACAAAAGCAGGGCTTTTATAATCCCATCCTTTATCCAACACTAAGTTGATGCTCTGCAACTGGCAGGTAGCTTTGAAATTCCATTTGAAGGGGAAAACTGCAGCATGTGAAAATAACCCAGGTAACACAAAAGCCCGTCAGCAGAGGACTCCTTTAATGCATTCCTGGAGATGTTGGTAATATTTTTACAAATGATGTGCCATTACCTGAGCAAGCCATCACCCTACAGTGCAGCATTTCCACCCTGTGTAGGAATGCTCTTTCCTCCTCTCCTACCAGTCCTCTTTCCCCACAGGGTAAACAGCTGGAAGTGTTGAGCTAACAACTGCCAGAGGCTTCAGACAGACACTTTGTGCCACACGAGATCCCGGGACACCTTAATGACTTCTCTTTAGCTTAATGCATCTCTGTAACAAACGGCATCACCTGCTATTGCTGATCTTGCACCACTTTCTGACTGCTGCAGAAGAACAAGGAAGGTTTGGCTCTTTGGATATCCTGTATGAAGTTGAGCTTTCAGTCTCTGTTGCGCTGCTGAGCAAGTCCCAGGTCGCTCCGAGCTATGTCTGCCCTGTTGATGGAGCACGGGGTCTTCTGGCTCTCATCCTCTGTATCCCCATTTGTAGCAGAGACTTTGCCATTCCAGAGGTCTCCTTGGTGGATCATTTCACACACTGTCCCATGTCTGACTTGGTATATCAAATTAAAACTACGTTATGACTTGTATTCTTCATGGTCATCTCATCGGAGTGTCTGTTCAGTGTTAGATGCAAAATGTCTTTTCTTGTTTCTTACATCAAGTCTGTAAATTGTTGGGAGAACGAGCACATTTTTAAAATTTATTATCCTTATTTAAAGCTGATTTATAAATTTATTACCCATATTTAAAATGGAGTATTAAGAGTGCAGTAAAGCAACCAAGCCTGGCCGTGTTGAAAACCAGCATCTGGTCCATTAAAGGGTGAATTCCTGCAGGAATAATCACCAGAGCAAACACTGACAGTCAGCACAGTTCATACCCTGGCTTTCATTTTGAGGCCATACCTGATCCCCTGGAACTAACGGATACATCATTTGTAGGATATTCAGATTATCTGCTTCAGACATTTCAGTGGCATTCCAAGCACCTCAGTTAGGAGCCTAAGCCCCAAAAATGCTCAGTGATTGAGAAAGAGATGCATCCTCAGTAATAACACCAAGTGAACTGATGTCACAGTATGAGTTTATGAACTTGTAGAAAAAGTTCGTGGCTTTTTTTAGTGATTATTCAAACAAACCCTGAGGCTGATAGTACTTCACTCTGCTAACAGGAAGAGAACTGATATATTCCTCTATTTTCTTGGGCTTTTTCCTTTTAAATCTTTATTGTGTACAGATGTTTCAGGTGTGTCTTGGATGTTTGTTACTAAGAGAAATAACATATCTGCATGTCTAAACATTCAGGAGAAAAGTCTTAATAGAGACCTGATTTCCCTGATACACATTTGAACGAGGGAAAAATATATTTTTACAGTTATTTTTGCAGTTTCTTCTTTCTAGACCTACTCAGAGGATGGTTTAGTCCAGCTTTAGTTTAAATTAAACAGACTGCCTAGAGAAGATACCTGGCTTGCTCTGTACCCTTCAGGGGGGTTGAAAGCAAGAATGATTAGATGTAAAATTTTAGAAAGATGTGCTAAATCAGTTTTACTCATGTTAGCCAACAGTTTTGCTGTCACCTCAGATCTGCTTATTCCTGCAAAGCACTGCACACCACTCAGGGAAAACAGCTGCACGTCACCAGCAAACTCAATCAGCAGTCCTGTTCAGAGAGCCACACTGGGATGAGCAACAGGAGATGGGCTGGTAGATTAGGGTAAGAGATAACATGGAATTCTTACAGCAGAATTCTGGTTTTCTATGTCTGGCCCAAAGCCTGGAGAAATATCATAAAGGTCATGATACCTCCAAAGGACATAACACCTGAACAGCACTGGTTTGATAAGACATGCTAGAATTGGCCCTAGACCGAGATGACTGTCTTTTCTAAGTGGAAATGCCCTGGAATGTTGGTCTTGGTTTCATCTTAAGCAGCACTGACTTCCCAAGCAAGTCTCAAATGATTCCTTAAATGCTTGAACTGAAGACATTAACTGAAGTGCCTTCAGCTCAGTCCACCCACAGGTGATCGATGTTTCTTAGCTCCTTGGTCTGGATTCCTGTCATCCAGCTCACCTTAGACACATGAAAACCAGCGTTCTTGGTTTTCAGGGTTTGTCTTGACTGCTTCAAACCAAAGATTTGGTTTCCTGTCATGGAACAAAGAAGGGCTTTGCTTTGCTTAATGTGAGATCTGCATACTTGGAAGATGCCCTGTCTTAAGATGTACTTTGGGGTTTTCAAGAACTGATTTTACATAAGCAGGTAAACAGGTCATTTTCATTGTCACTAACCAGTCCTTGTGTCCCTCCACTCCCAGGTACACTGTTTTACGCAATGGGCATCATCAGGAACATGAGAAGCTTCCCATCCACAACGATCCTGAATCCCAAGAGTCCTGTTTCTAGTCATGGTCCTAATAGAGGAATGGTCCAGCTGAAAGAACCTTTTAGGATATCCAAAGGATTCATGGACAGCAGGACTTGTTGAAAAATCATTCATCTGCATTGTCATGGTGCCTCCTACACTGACTTCACATGGATGTCCAGCTGTGGGATGGATGGAAGGTACAGGACTCCTGTACCTGCAGGGATGGCTGGATGGCTTTATTCCAGGAGGGAGTGATTCCTGTCAACATAAGGACACAAAACAGATACAAACCACTCAGTGCAGGGACTTCTGCTGCTCCTTTCCAGCTGCCATCTGTGTACAAGCCATCTCTCTGTCCTGCAGTCTTAGAGATCCCAAGGTCTGGCTGAAGCCCTGACAGGATGTGAGACTAAAGCCCTGCTTCATCCGTGCGAGATCCTGCCCGCGGTGATGGATGGTCGGGGGAGAAACAGCACTGTGTTTTCTTCAGCAAAATAAGGGGGAACATTTGCCCTTTGATTATAGCTGCTGCTGAAGGGTCAGCACGAGCTGCTGGTTCACCCAACCCTGCAGAGCTTTGTAAATGCTTTTACTGTGTTTCCTGGCCACGTTCATTGGTAGAAGACTCTGGTGTGCATAGAGGGCCTGACAAGCTGGAGTGGGACCTACAGAGACATCTCACCTCTGACAGGGCCCTGCCAGCACTGCTCCAGTCCAGCCCACGGGCCCAAAGCCATGTCCAGTGGACAGGATATGGCCCTCAAACCCAGGCATTCTGACCCAGAAGAAAGATTGGCCAAGAGACAGTCAGTCTGTAATAGATCACTAAGTGCCATCTTGAAAAATACACCATCTAATAAACTTTTCTAGCTACATTAGGAAGAGAGACTTCTACTTCCATATTCCACCGTTATTTTTCTATTTGTTTCTGTTCTCTTCCAGTTGAGGCAAGAAGTTTCAAGGTTTTCAAATATCACCATATGCACATCTGCTTGCAAAGATCTCAGTCCTCAGCTGCTTCCTGCATGTAGATGTTGCCATGTTCCTTGTGAGCTGCTTCCACCTTTGCATGGAAAGGGTGAGCAAGGCTGTAGACTTCACAACTTTGGGAAAATGATTTTCATGCAGTAGGAAATATGCAGGATCAAGACTATGAGCCTCTACCCTTTTTAAATGAAGATCTAACCCAGAGATGCCACCCTGAGCCTAGAAAATAAACTTGTACTTTGTTATATTGTGTAATCATGTACAGCTATTTTTAATGTAAAAAGAAAAGGTGACATTATTTATTATTTTTTATCAGGAACATGTGTTTTTTTCATTAAAAGCTTCTAGACCCAGGAGCTTAACATTATATGTATTATTATTTAGTAATATTTCTGTTGCTATGTGACAGGTATTTACTATAAACAGACAAATCCTGCTTTGAACAAACAAAAATGTTGCTCAGTAGGAAAAAAATTGTGCATGATAAGAACAACTGGCTTCCTCTGCCACGGTGTCTGACTTCTTTAAATACTTCTTCCACATAAAAGTCACTGATAAAACCTCACAGCCTTTCCCTTTAGGTTTCAAAAGGACTCTAGGGAGAAATAGCCCTAATTAGAAGACCAGACACTTACCAAAGTAGAGAATTGCTGGCAGTTAGAAAGAGAGAAACTGTTGGTGTTTTCATGGAAGGTGCTCCTGGTTCATCATTAGGACCTGTTTGGCAATTACCTGTTTTTACAGGGCTTTGTTTCAAAAAGAACTCCTTGAACTGTACTGTTGACACCAAAACAGAGCAGAGAGTGAAAAAAGGAAGGTCATTATTGAAAGTTTGGAAAAAAATCCATCCAGAGCTGCTTGAGTCCTGTGATCCTCACCCTCTGTGGGACTGCTCACACTGGTTGTGTCAGGATTTGGGTACATGAGGCTTCAGAACAGGTTTTCTTGGTTTCACCTCAAATATCAAATTTCTTAGAGAAATCCTGAAAAAGCTTTTCTCTGTCCCCATTAAAAGGCATCAAAACATTGGTGTGAAATTTCTCTGAGTGATCTGGACCCAGCAGCAGCATGGGGATGCTACAGTAATTGTGTTTTTGTTTCTGCTGTTGTCCTTGAAGTGTTGTTTTCTCCTATATTTTTATGTGCATTAGTAATATATCTCTTCTTAATTTAAAATGAACTCCTCAACAGGGCAGTTTCCTCACAGGCAACATTCTGAAGGCTCTATCAACGGGAGCAGTAGCTCACTAGCCAAGATGGTCAACTGCTGTGATAGGAAAAAATTCCAAACACTGTATTTGAATGAAATACCAAACACAAAATGTCCATGTTCTGTGGCATTTCTGACGAATTGCTCGTTGGACTCAGCAAACCTGTCATGAACCACCTGGCAGCTCCTGCTTAGTAAGTCAGTAATCTCAGCAAAGCTTCTGTGAACCCAGCAAATGACGTCGTCTGTCATCAGTAATGGCAGAACTTCTCTGGAAAAGGAGCTGTCTCACAGAAAGGACCCAGACTCAATTTCCTTTGCTAAAGGTGGCTGCTCCTGCAGCCTCTCAGTTCAGCTTCCCATTGACCTTCTTGGCTAGTGGTATCAGAGTCTTTGCCTGTGCTGAGTAATGTGTAATGCATTGGCTGTTTCTAAAAATAAAAAATCTTCTATGTGCACTGCAGTGAACTCCAGCTCATGCTCATTTCTTGGCTGTTTTCACTCAAAACACATGATGTGACCAAGTTACACTTCATTGCCTTGCAAGACACTCCAACAGCCAGAACAGGGAGGGAGAATCTGACCCTTCTTTGCTTTTTCTAGAACTCCCTGACGGGAGGGTGGAGCCAGGTGGGGGTCGGGCTCTGCTTCCAGTGAACAAGTAAGAGGACTAGAGGAACAGCCTCCAGGTGTGCCAGGGGAAGTTCAGGTTGGACATCAGGAGGAATTTCTTCACTGAAAGGGTTGTCAGGCACTGGAAGGGGCTGCCCAGGGAGGTGGTGGAGTCCCCATCCCTGGAGGTGTTCAAGGAATGACTGGACATGGCACTCAGTGCTCTGGTCTGGTTGACAAGGTGGGAATTGGTCACAAGTTGGACTCGATGGTCTTGGAAGTCTTTTCTAACCTTAATGATTCTGTGAAAATACTGATGAGCCCTTTGATTGTAATACCCATTCCTAATTGTTATCTACCAGAACAATCCTGCCTCCTGCCCCGAGTTCTCATGCACTGGCTCTTTATCCCCACTGATTGTTTCTGAGCCCTCCCTCTCTCTCCCTTACCTGTGCTGTGCTCACCTGATCTCTCACATCTGCTCTGGGCACCACTGTCAGACAGGCATTTACAAACAGAGAGTCAAACATTAATTTGTGCAGCTCCATTTGTGTGAGTTTCCCAGTGAATCTGACTAAAAGAGGAAGCTTCTTTCTTCCTTTCCATCTCTTTCCTGCCACCTCTTGCAGATCCACTCTAATAACCATATAGTTATTTCTTCACATAAACATGCTAGTACTCATCAGTGAGTGATCACACCACCACTTTATGGTCTGGGAACACTTTACATGTTTTGGAATGCAGCAAGCCTTGGAAGCTTTAAGGATTGTGCCTGATGGAGTTGTTTTCTTGGATTACAACTCATGACACTTCTCCTTGCCAGAGGTAATGTGCTGGCAGAACAGAGAGCTAATGAGAAATTGGCTGGGCCTTTGCTAAACTATCTTCAGGAGGCTGAGATGTCAACACAGTTGTATTCCCATCTTTCTGCATTTTTTTCTAGGCTCCAGAAGCATTTCTGGGATCTTGCATGACATTTGATAGCAGGGCATGGGCTCAGACAAGGAAATCCAAAGATGCATCGAGGTTACTTGTACTGAAAGAGGGAAGGAGAGCAACAGGCTGGCTCCTTCCAAAGGGAGACTGAAAACATAGCCTAAGGCTAAATCTGTGTGCCAGGGGGCCCTGGGCAGTGTCAGGATGCATATCCCCATGAGCTGAACCATTCCTCCTACTGCCCAGCTTGCCCTGTCTCCAATACTCAGTTTACTCAGACAGAAACTAAGTCACAGTCGTGCTGCAAAGTAAAATTCAGAGCTGTAATAAACAAGACACCAATGGGAAGCAGCGTTCACCAAACAGAAGCTCCCAGGAAGGGTGCAGAAGAGGCCATACGCTTTAATTAGCTGATGTTTAAGACTGTCTGGAGGGATGTGAAGCAATAACTGGATGATACACGCTCTGTAAATGTCAGTGCTTGAGGCAGGGAGCAGCTGTGTTGCTCAGTGAGATGTATGGAGATATGGCTGCAGCCCAAGAGTAGCAGCAGGTCATGCTCATAAACACCATGCAGACAGCTGAATCCTTATGGGGAAACGTCCCTTCCACATTTATCCTTCAGTTTTTTCAACACTGAATATATCTTCAGTTTTAAATCTTGGAGAGGGCAATGGAAAAAAAAAAAGAAACTATCTCAGTAGAACAATTAGCAAAATGTTTTCAGTAAATTCTCAAAACCCTTTTAATTTAATGCAGAAATGTACAATGTGACCTGCTTCTCTTGCAGGATCTGATGCCTGTATACACACATCAAGAAGTGAAAACATTTACCACAGTGGCTTAAAAACAAAGGCAACAGCTTCCACCTGCATTGCACCCCAGTGCAGTGCAGTGCAGCGTGGGAGCAGAGCTGAGAAGGGTCTCACACTGGGAATGGAGGGAGTGGCAGTGTTGGAGCTGAGGGATAGTTGTAGAGGTGTGTGGGGAGCCCTTATTCGGAATCACAGAATCATTAATGTTGTGAAAGACCTCCAAGGTCATCAAGTCCAACCTGTGACTGATCCCCACCTTGTCAACCAGACCAGAGCACTGAGTGCCATGTCCAGTTGTTCCTTGAACACCTCCAGGGATGGGGACTCCACCTCCTGGCGCAGCCCCTTCCAGTGCCTGACAACCCTTTCAATGAAGAAATTCCTCCTGATGTCCAACCCAAACCTCCCTGGCACAGCTTGAGGCCATTTCCTCTCGTCCTGTCCCTTGTTCCCTGGGAGCAGAGCCCGACCCCCACCTGGCTCCACTCTCCTGTCAGGGAGTTGTAGGCAGCAAGAAGGTGCCCCTTGAGCCTCCCTTTCTCCAGGCTGAGCCCCCCCAGCTCCCTCAGCCACTCCTGGTGCTTCAGCCCCTTCCCCAGGTTCCTTCTCTTCTCTGGACATGCTCCAGCACCTCAGTGTTTCTCACACTGTGAGGGGCCACAGAACTGGATGCAGCACTCGAGGTGTGGCCTCACCAGTGCCAAGCACAGGGGCACAGTCACTGCCCTGGCCCTGACTGTCCCTCTGCTCTTGCTTACAATGGTTCTGTCCTATTAAGCGTATTTAATTTCTAGTTATGATTTATTTGCAGTCACAGGAGCCCCACCTCGGCCTGGCAAGTTACCTGAAGGAGTCCCAGGTTGGAGGGGGCACTGTGGTGCAGATCTGGTTTGCAGGAACAGTGCAATCCAAATGGGCTCATGTGAGCCATGAAAACCATTATTAGAGTCACCTTGATGTTGAATAGGACAAATCCCTCGCTGCAGAGAGCCTCTTTTGGCAAACTCGGGTCCTCCATGAGTCTCTGTTATAACAAAGGACACTTAGAGGAGAATGTATATTGGAAATGTGTTAGGTAACCACAAAAAACCTGAACATGAGTCAGAGCTGAGAGAAATAAATTGTACTCACCTTGCCTTTGACTTCAGCACACTTCAAAATGGCTTTTATTTTACCCTACATTCCCTCACTGTCCCTAAATGGGATCTGTGAATAATCAGTAATAGTGTATTCATTGTACTTAAATGTTTTTGCACAACTCAAAATACCTCCCAATTTAGGTATTACTAACAAATATCTTCAGCCTAAAGATCATCTCAGCAAAGGCTTTCAGAATGGAACACAGTCCAAACTGTCTTTGCTCTGCAAAGATAGGGAAAAATCAAAAGATATTTAAGGCATTTATTGACGTCAGCCTGACTTAATAGCGTGCAACAGAACCAACCCATTGGGTCCAAATCGTGTCCATTTAATTCTTAGCACAGATGAAAAATACAGAAGAGCTCCAGCCAAATGATGGTTTCTTGGAGCAGCCAGCCCACACACGGCAGACACTGAGTCATTCTCAAGAGTTTTCCTCACCCATCTTTGTAAGTGCTGAAGCCAAGGAGAGCATTTTCATTCTGTAACTGTCAGCTGTAAATCCTTCCGTAGTTCACAATCCCATTTTTTTCTCCACATTTGATTTCCTGAGCCATCTCTGATTACTACCATGCCAAAAGGCAAGAAATCTGTTGTTTTCTTCTACTAATATGAACTCAATAAAAATATACAAAAGCTTTTAGTTTTTTTCAATTTTTCTATAGCCTAAATCTTCCTGAATAAAAAAAAAAAACAAAATAATCTCTCAGCACCCAGTGACTGTTAATGAGCTGATGGAAACCCTCCAGTTGATGGGCACTAGTTTTGGCTGTCCTGTTATCACATGCAGTGCACAAGAGTCTGTACAATTTCCCTGTCATCCCCCTGACAAGGGATTAAATTTGAATTGCTTGAACCAGCAGAAATCATGGGCAAGGCATGGAGTTTGTAGTTGCTTCTAACACACTGAAAAGCTTAGAGACCAGAGTGAGGGTAGAGGCAACATTCCTGTCTCTACCATCAACTCCTTTTAGCTTTTTCCTGAATAAAAACACACTTTCAAAATCCTTTTAAAAACCCTAACAGTGATTTTATCTGTCTCCTAAATCAGAGAAAAAAAGCAAGAACCAGCATAGTGCCCACCTCCGAACACAACGTTTCATGCTCCTCTCTACCCTCCCAAGCTCACTTTCTCCTTTATTTACCTTCTGTACTCTCTATTTAGATGACATTTCTCAGACACTTGAGCATCTCCCAGCTGGGATCACTGCATCCTCTGGCAGGAGGAGTTGTTAACCCTTCTTGCTGTGGGCAAAGCAGTTCAAGCACTTGCCTGCAGTGGTACAAGCCACCTCAGACTCACTTCCCAATTAGTGGAAAGCTAATCAATACCTGCCTTTGCCCAGCACTTCTGAGTGCTCATTTCTCTTCACTGACAGTAAGAGGACACCCCTCTGACTGGTTCATCTGCACTAGAGGCACATAAATCCATCGAAGATACAACCCACCCAGGAAATGTGTTGTTGAGTCAGACCTAACCTAGGGAAGATAATCCTTCCTGTTTAATCCTTTCCCTGAAGGCACATGAATGTGAAGCACGCCAAGGAAGCAGGGGACAGAAGTGATACAGCCATATCACAGTTTCCTTTATCATTTTCCTTACCTATCAGATTAAATGTTTGCAAAGCTGCCTTTGAACTCCAGCAAACAGCTTCCTTATATATCCAGATGCAAATATCACTGTTAAGTGGGCTGGAAATGGATTTCATAGTTCAGCCCAAAGCTGCCACACAGGAGCACAGCAAAGCTAAAAGGCCCAGCTGGAGTTTTCTGTATTGCAGAAAGAAGAGCAGAGCAGGATCACTCAGTCACCTTATGTGCAGTGACAGCAGCCTGTCCTCCTGCCAGAGAAAAACGAGGTGTCAGGCCAGACTGCAGAGTGAAGAGGGAAGCCTGTCACATACAGACAGAAGACATCTGGGATGCTCCCTGAGAAACGTTTAACAACCGGGCAGATCCG